GCGCTTCCCGGCTCGGCTCGGCTCGGCTCGGCGGGCGCGGGTGCAGAAGCCTCGCCGCGGCTCGCGCAGCGCACCTCTGCAGAGCGCGCCGGGCGGCCGCCTGGCCAGCAGACGCGAGCGCCTCGCCGCCCTCCGCGCCCGGCCGCCCTTCCTCCTGCTCGCGGGCGGCTTCGAGCCAAGGCGAGGGACCGACGGGAACGGCCCGGCAGAAGCGCCGGAGGCCGCCTGCCCGGACGCAGAAAGTCGCGGAAGGAGCGCGGCAGGACCGGAGGAAGAGCGCCGTTTCCTGGCGAGGCGCGGCGAGCGACGGAGGACCCCCGCCCACCCCGGACCGGATTTGAAAGTGCGGCGGCTCGGATTCCCGCGGGGCGGAAGAAGCGGCGCGAAAGCATAAAATCCGGCGGAGGACGCCGAGGAGAGCGGCGGAGGCGGCTCGCGTCCCGTGCCACAGCGCTTCCGACGCAGGCCAGGCGGGCGGCGCGCCGGCCAGCGCGAGCCCGGCTCCCTGCGCCGCCGCGCCGCCACTTGTTGCTCGCCTCCCCACCCGGGCCCGCCGGATCCGATCGCCGGGCGCGGAGCGCAGCCCGCCGGGCGCCGATCGGACTGCCAGCCTCCCCGGCCGCACAGCCTGCCTCGCCCAACTCCCCGGGCGGGGGCTCGAGCCGAGGGTCGCCCGCCCGCCGCCCGCACAGTGCCCCTTCGCCCACCGCCCACTCCGGCTCGCTTCCGTGCTCGGCCTAGCGGCGACGCGAGTCGCTCGGCAGCAGGAGGCACGGAGAAGAGGCCGGCTGGGAACTGCCGGCCCGCCGCGCTCGCTCCGCTCAGGCCGCCGCGCTCGGCTGTAACCTTGGCTCACCCCGCCGCTGCCTGCAGGGAGACGTCAGCTTGCAAGCGCGGCGGCGGCGGCCAAAGCTGCGCGGCCGCCTCCCGACTCTTTCCGCACTGAAAGTTGCCGAGTTGATCATTGCAAAAGCCCTGGCGTGAGATCCGCTCCCTGGCGCCCGCCCGCCCGCCCGCCCGCTCGCCTCTCCGCGCCGCGCCCGTTCCCCTTCCCCGGGCCACACGCGCGCCCGGCAGGCCGACCCCTAGCCTACCCCGCGCCCACCGCGGGACCCGGTCCAGCTCGCGCGCGCTCTACATGCGCCCCGACAGCCCTTTGCCCTGCGCTCCCTGGGAGGCGATGGCCCCGCTCTTCGGACACGGCCCTGGCCGCTGGTAGAGGCGCTCGCTCGCTCGCTCGCTCCCCGCTCCGGCTCCCGCCGCGCCAGGACGTTCCGCGAGAACGCTGTCCTGCCAGTGCCGCCGACCGACGCCGCCTGATACCGCGACCTTTCCGACGAGGGCATGGAGGTGCACGTAGGCCTGGGAAGGGTCTACGGCCGGCCGGCCGGGAAGACGTTCCGCGGAGCTTTCCAGAGCCTCTTCCAGAGCGTCTGTGAGGCGTTCCACGGCTCCGGGGACGGGGGCGCGCGGGAGGAGGCCGCCACCGCCGCGACCCCGGCGACCGCCGCGGGCTCCGCTGCCTCCACCCCGTGCCAATCCGGCGCCCGCCTGCAGGAGCCCAGCCCGCGGCGGCGGCTGCCGCTCAGCCCCGGCTCGCCCTCCTACCTGCCGCTGGGCGGACAGTCCCCAGCGAGCGCCGGCCTGCAGCCTGCTGAGCGGGACCCCCACGCGGCCGCTGCGTCCTCCTCGTCCGCCGCGGCTGCCTCGTCCTCCTTGGCCCTGCTGGACTCGTCCTTCCAGAGCTGCCCCGGGGACCTCAAAGACATCTTGGGCGAGGGCAGCTTGCTGCAGGCCCCGGCCGCCGAGTCGCGGGGCGGCGCGGCGGCCGCCGTGGAAAGCCCGCCGGACAAGGAGGACTTCTTGGGCGAGAGCGCCAAGGAGCTGTGCAAGGCCGTGTCCGCCTCCATGGGCCTGGCCGTCGAAGCGCTCGACGTCCCCGGCGGCGGCGGCGGCGACCTGGCCGCGGCCCGCGGCGACTGCATGTTCGCCCTGCCGGGCGCGCACGCCCGGGCCGTGACGATGGGCGCCTGCAAGATCGTGGAAGCCGAGCACGAGAGCGGCGCTGCTGGCGGCGGCGGCGGCGGCGGCGAGGGCGCGCTGGCCATGGACGTGTCCGGCCCCCTCAGCCTCTACAAGGGCTCGCCGGAACTGGACGAGCCGTCAGCAGCCGCCTTCCAGAGCCGCGACTACTACAACTTCCAGCTGGCGCTCGCCTCGCACGGCCGCATCAAGCTGGAGAGCCCCCTGGAGTACGCGGCGCCCGGCGGCGTTTGGAGCGCGCAATGCCGGCGCGCCGCGGAAGTGCCTGCGCTGGCGCCCCACTACGGCGGCCCTCCCGGCCCGAGCTGGCACCCCTTCTTCTCCGAGGAAGGGCCGATCTACGCGCCGTGCGTGCCCGGCGAGGGCGCGGCCGCAGCCCCCTTCGGCTACGGCAGAAGCCCGGGCCCGGCGGGGCAGGAAGGGAGCGACATGCCGTCCGAGATGTGGTACCCGGGAGGCGTGGTGGGCAGGATGCCTTTCGCCCCTGCGCCCGGCTGCATCAAGACGGAGCTCACGCCGTGGATGGAGGGCTACGCGGGGGCCTACGGAGACGTGAGGTAAGGCGCCGAGCGCTGCTTCTCCCAACCCTGCACCGCCAGCATCATCCCGCGCGCCCGCGCCTGCATCCTTCCAGCCGCTCCCTGAGTGGCGCCGGCTGGAAGAAGCGGCCGGGTCGCCCTTTTTCATGCAGGGTGTCATCTGGGAAGGGACTGGATAGCCTCTTGGGACCCCTTCCTCCCCCCACTCGCTCGTATGTTGCTGCTGCTTTCGCGCGGAGACCCGCAGGCCAGCAGCGAGCACGGCCGACCCTGCGCGCGTTTGCGCGGCCGCTGAGCCATTCCCAAGTGCACCCGCCACACTGGCGAACCCTTGCTGAAACAATTCCCGGAGTCCCTAGTTTATTGGCACATGGTTCCCAAATCGGCACGGCCCTGGCTTTCGTGTATTTTTCTTTTCTTCAGTCGGGCTTCAAACTGCAGGTTTGGGGCTTTTGAATTTTTGCTTCCATGGGAAAGAGCTCGCATTCAGAACCCCTACTACGAATTAAGTCATCTGCTCAGACAGAGCAGTAGCTTTTTATTAGGTCTGGTTTGGTAGAAGTTTCTGGCTGATGGCAAGGCTGCCCCTCATGACTCATTAAGGAAGGTGAGTTGCGCCAGAATTTCCATCCTGAAACTTAAGACACTGGAAGGTGACTTAGGGATTCATTAGCGAGATGGAGCCACAATGATTCAGAACTCAACTGCCTTGGCAGCTTTTTGGTTTCTTTTTTATATATCAAAGCGCAGAGCAGCACTCTGTCCCCTCCAACGGCCTAGTGCACCTTTTCAGAAAAAATCTTGTATCTTGCGTACTTTTGATAGTTTCTAAACTGCTGACAGCAGTGCCGAAGGATGTTAAACTGAGTCAATGAGTGCGTTGCGGTGGCTGTCGCTTCCTCCTGAAGTTTAACTCGTTTAGATGCTGGGTTAGGGCTGCATCTTAGTTCAGTGCTAAGCAATGACTTTGCAATCACTGTCATCACAATCTGTATCACACAGGAGATCCAACTGCCATCGACAAATGTAAACACTAGAAAGAGAATGTAGCATTTTACTTCCCAAAACACAATTTGGCTACAAACGTATACAAACTTTCCCTTTGAATTTAGAAGTACTTCCTTCTATGCAGACACTGAGAGAATAGCACTGGCAATGAAAACGCTTCAGTGGCTGGTTGCATGCTGCCTTTTCTGTCTTTCCATTTTTCTTGCTCTTTGCTTCGTTTTCTTTCTTGCAATTACTAGGTTCAGATGAGACACTGGTTACTCTGATGTAGCGTATAAAGATGCAGCACAAATGCATTTGATCAGAAGTAGATTCCACTGCATAGGATGAGGCTTACTCTCTAAGAACCGTGCTTAGGCTCTCCACCTAAACCGTAGCCCTAATACTTGTCTTGGTCAGTGGTGAACCCTTGGCGTTGGCCCTTCTCACCCACTCATGCTGTGCATTTCCCCTCACAGCAGGCTGACAGCGCTAAGGAGTGGTAAGAGGGTCCCTGTGTATCCCTTACCATATTGTGTACTGGCGCAAACCCTTTCCCTGCTGGCCTTTTGCTTGGCCTCCCCTTAGGGAGGGGGTCACTGGCAGCACACGACTAGCCAGCCTCCATGTTGCCCATGGTGCCGTGACTTTCTTCACAGCAAGGCCATGGCTTAAAATGGAGGCTGGGGCAAGCCCTTCCCAGAATCCACTTGCAAGGGAGTTTATCACTCCCCGAATGCTGCCCCCATGCCAGTTCCGTGGGTGGAAAGCTGGCTCTGTTTATTCAGCAGCAAAGCTGCTGTTATTAGCAGTAAATTCCCCTATCAAGTTTTCTTCCTCCCTTCCTTTATGAGCAAGGTATGGCAAGCAACAGTTGAATGCAAAATATGTCCAAAATGGTGATTTTGGATTTAATACTAGCTGTATTTTTTGGATTCTATTGATTTTGTTGGTTTTAATTATTTACCACTCAGAGAGCCCTATTCAGGACTATTGGCATGATCTAGTAATAATAATAATAATAATAATAATAATAGTATTTGTGAGCCACCCTGAGGTGTTTGTGAGCCGCCCCAAGGCTTCAACGAATGGGGCGGCATAGAAGTTCCCTAAATAAAATAAAATAAAATTATTATTATTATTATTATTATTATTAAATATTTTGGTACTTTGGGATTACTCTTTGGTCTTTGATCTATTTTATAAGCATATAAATCTTAAGTGGTTAGTCTAAGCCATGAAGATGAAGTACTCACAATTAAGTTCATCGCAGACAGAACCTGAATCTCTAAACTATATTGTGTGGAGGCAATCCCACCAATTTTGTAGAGCACGTCTTAGGGTCATCTTCCAAAAGGACATAAACTTTTCGCTTTTCAGTGTTAGCAGGGTAGTTACGTGTACCTCTGTGTTTACAGCTTATTTACCTGGATAATTAACTCATTCGATTGGTAATCCTCCAGAGTCAAAGGCTGTAGAAATTTAAAGAAAACAAACAGGAGCCCTGCTCTGAAAACCCATAAGCAAGAGAAACCATTGGAAGGGTCAACACGCAAACCCTAGAAACATAAAATTGCACGGAAATGGTGCAGTGACAACACAGAATCTGTCACTAATCTTGGCAAAAACCTACAAACAGATCTCAGTATTTTAATAAAATGGTGGGCACCAAACTCAAGTGCACTTGTGCAAACTAGAAGGAGTGGACACCCCCCGGGAGTGGAATCTGACATTGTATTTGCCTTCTTTGCCTTCTGTATCTTTTTGATTCCTGTTAGAAAGCAGACAGTCTGTCGCACTCGCAGAAGAAAAAGTTCTGCCATATCCCAGTGACTCGGTGTGCAGGTGACACTCAAGACTAAGCAGCTCATCTGCATGCGTGTGTGTGCAGGTGTGTGTGCGTGTGCGTTGCGCAACGGCCATATGGGACAGCTCTTGGTTCTAAGCCCTGAGCCTTCCGCCATCTTCTCCTGGCTTCTCTAAATGTAACTCAGTGATGTAAGTAAACAGCCATGCTAGCTTCTGCCTTATCTTGCGGCCCGTGCTTTGGCCCGCATCCCCTGCTTGTCGAGTAGGGAACAATTTGCAATACTTTGCGAATGGTATTTGTCTGGTGCCAGCAAAATGTCCACCGAAAAGTGTATTAGGGGATGCAGTGAGGCTGGGGGTGAGTGGCCATTGTCTGCTAAAAAAATGGGAACTGTCTCCCATGTCTGGGTTCATACTCATTTAATTGCATCTTAAAGTGCACATATTTTGTTAGCTGGTTGATTGTGAGGATCAGTGCCATAAAGAGATGAGATTTGAAATCCACATTGACTAAAATAGGAGAATTCCAAGCGTGGCAATTGATCCAAAGTCTTTCAGTCACTTCCAATAATCAGTTTGATTTAATTATGCTTTTAGGGAGTAGCTTTCTGAAATACCTAATCAAGTGTCTGAGCTGCCTGTGGACTGTGCCCTTATTGGGAAGGGCTGCAGGGCTGAGAATCAGCCTCCTGCCCGCCCATTTCCCCCTGCAAAAGTCCATTGTAAGCCCTTGACCGGCTTTTCCCTTGTCCTCATTCGTCTTGGCCCTCCCTGTTTAGCTCTCCCTGGAATCTAGCGGGAAACCACCCACTATTGTGCAGTAAACCTGGATGAATTCTAAGGCTCCACTGCAGTTTCAAATCCTGGCAAACCCAATGGTGGGTTTTCACCTCTTTATTTATTGGGTGGTGCATCCAATAGGCCTGATTGCCTCGAAATGGAAGCCGCATCTGTCCCCCACATGCTCCACGCTCGCAAGGACGGCCTTCAGTGCCCCGCGCCTCATCCTGCGAAGTATCGCCACGTTCCTTTTGTTTCTGTCAGAAAGAGATGATAGCTCCATTTTGCAGGAGGACAGCTCTGCCTTCCCCTCCTCTGGCCTGATGAGGACGGGATCTTGCAGCGAAGGCCTGCGCACCGAACTCGGAGGGCGCATGTGGCATCAATTGCCTGTTCAGACATCAAGAGCCCTCACTGCAAATGGCTGAGCTTGCTCACCATTATTTATTAATAATTTTAATAAAGGCTGGTCGCTAAGTGTGCTACAGTTCATCAGCCGTCCTTTCCATAAAACTGGGAGCAGGAGAAGGGTTATGCAATGCTGAACAACTGGATAAAACACTGTCTGTGAGTTTTTCCTTACAAGCATATAAGTTAAAGGCTATGTTGCTGGCCAGCACAGATTATTATTATTATTATTATTATTATTAATAATAATTTATAATAATAATTTATTTCTGTGCCAGCCAGTAGCCAAAGCAATCTAGGTGATGTTCAGCAACTAATCAAAACAGTGCAACATTGCATTAAAAGGTTGAAACCAAATGTTAACAAAATAAATTGATGAGACAGCTTGGCCTAATAAAACTACCACCATTAACCCTGCAAAATGCTGCTTGAGGCCAGTAAATCCCTCAGCAGGGAGGGTAGCCTAAGCCTGGCACCAGAAGACCTTGGATCAGCCTGAAGGTTCAGTACTGTTAAGCCCCTCTGTTGCAAGGAACAAGTAAGCAAATGCTTCGGTGTTTCTATTAAAACCAAGGTGGCTTACAGGGTCTTCCTGTAACGCTGACAGTAATAAATAAAGGCAGAAAACTTGAGCAAGAGAACCTGGAGTATCTGCATTTGATTACTGAATTTCTAGCCAGTTTATAATGCTGAACCTTGCTCCTTCACCCTGCTGCCACAGCACAAATGTTACCTTCGCTGTAACTGCATGTGAGAGATTCGGCCGGCAAGAGGGACTGACGGAATCTGCTTCTCGCCAGTCCCAGGCCAACCCTCAAGCCTGGCCCGTGCCCTGCAGTGCTTCTCTCCTGTCCAGGGACATGGCAGCATGCACATCTGAGCACGAAAGCTGCACCTGCCTGTGCTGCGCCTGGCTCACCTGCCCGACACCTGTCGGCACGCACTGGCACGGCCTGCCAGGCTATGCGCACTTCGCATGGGGTAAACTGAGCCCCCTGACTCTTGTTTCTGGAAAACTCGCCTGGGATCAGTCA